ACTAATGGAAGTAATGCACTAAATAATTTTTATTTAATTAAATAATGCACCAGAGAACATAGACTAATAACATGTAAAATTAGACAATTTCCTCTAACTCTCAACATTTTTGTGGCTTTCTAACTATGCGACACGAGCCGTTACAAATTCATCTAAGCTAGTTGTTAACTTTCCCATGGGAATGAACTATGTATTTTGAAAATTGATACTTATCTGTTCAGAATACAATGTTATACAATACATCATTTGATAGATGAAAACCTTGGCTTTCTGTTGGTTATAGGTAATATATAATTAAACGTGAGAGAGAACTATTAACAAATCATGAAAGAGAGGATGTGACAGGTGGGTGTGGCAAGAGGGGGCTGATTTTCTATTTCATGGCTCTGTAAGCAAACAAAATTGAAAACTATAACTATTATGGCTTGTCTGAGCAATGATGATTATATAGTAAGTTATTTATGTTGAATTTCATACTTTTTGGAGGGGTGATGGATATAATAAAGAAAAGAAGATACCTAGAGAAAATGTGTTACTTGTGTAACACTAGGGGAAATTTAGGATTTTTTTTTCAATATTGCCTTATAGAAATAAGAACATAAAACTTGTAGACTATTAAAATATGAATTATTAGCTAAGGTTTTATGCTATACTAATTGGTATAATGTAAACAAAAAGTAGTTTAATAAATTTTGAATGTAAGATACAAAAACCTTGTGTCATGTGCAGTAAAGGATACCTGTGGCAATAGGGTTAAATAACTATGCAGTTATCATATGGGATTGCTCAATATAAAAGATATTTAACCCTCTTGGCTTAAAAGTGAATTTAAAAAAAAAATTTACAGGAGGTTGTGTTTTTATGTAAATCACCAAGTCAAGTGACAACTACAGCCAATATAAAGAAAGTTGTGGTGGTTGAACAGTATTGTTTGCCATTTCACAGATAGTTTGATGCCACTGAAAACTGATCACTTTTAGGAAGGATGTGTAAGAACTTTTTTTGGCAAAAAATATTCATACAATCAGATCATAATGATGTGATCAAGGAATCAGATCAAGAACTTAGAATTTCCAAGACAAGGATATCCCTTGTATGTAATATCATTGGAAAACAAATGAATATGAATCAATTTAGGACATCAGGACCATCCAGAGAGCAAAATGTGGCCTCCTGTAGTAGGTGAGAATTCACAAACATAAAGGTTGGTGGTAAAAGTGATTCATGTGTCCAAGGCAACAGTATGCAACATAATCAAGAAGGCACTTATTCTGTGACATACCTAGGAAAGGAAGACCCACTGTAGAAAATTGTATGAACGATAACTAAATGAGAAAGAAATGGAAGCATGTGTCACACTCAATGAAGCATACGTGTATATGGCATTTTCTTCCAGCTAGTGGTGAAAAAGAATTTGAAATGTGGTACACAGCATGTCATGAAACTTTATCAAAGAGATTCATGGTAATCAGTGGATACTCCCCTGAGGGGGATCAAAGTGAACTCTTCTTACTATCAGACCATTGTTCTGGACCCTTTGGTTTCTGGACACTCCCCTGAGGGGGATCAAATTGAACTCTTCTTACTATCAGACCATTGTTCTGGACTCTTTGGTTTCTGGATACTCCCCTGAGGGGGATCAAAGTGAACTCTTCTTACTATCAGACCATTGTGCTGGACCACACAAAAGTAACATTTTGTTTTCACTTTGAAATCACAAATCACATACTACAAGTATAAAATTTGTTTTCAGTGTCTCAGAGTTTATGGATTTTGTATTGTAGATTTTGGTTTGTCAAGGCCAAGGGACCAAAAATCTAGAGGTATAATTTTGACAAACATTAAAACTTGTATACTGCAGTTACTATTCCAGTTATGGTGTCAATAAAAACTGGACTTATTAACAGTTCAGTAAATTTTGTACCAATGAACAATATTATTACTTAATTTGACAAATTACTAAGACATTAAAAAATATAGAGCTGTCATTTACTTTAACAGTTGCAGGCGTTAGTGAAAAATTCATGAACAGTATGAGTGAACTATAGTTAACATTGAACTATTTTTCATTATAGATGAACTTAGTTTGATCCTTGTGATAAAGCTCACCAGATTGGCTTACAAAGTGATTGAGTCTAACCATAAATTGTGGTTTAGGAGATGAACGTATAGTGACAAATGGAATTTATATGGTCACTTGCATAATTTAGGAAGCCACATTAGATTGCAGAGATACATCGAGAAAAACTGTTGTTAAACATTTTTGTGACATTGTCTTCTCCTGCTACAAAGATCTTTGCAAGTAAAGTTTCTTGATAGAGCAGTTAAAAGTTTGGGCAGAAAATACACACAACAATTGCAAATATCACACCGATAAGCGTGTATATCTAAATATGCTGCTACTTACCCATGGAATCATTCAAAATTAGGAAAACTGTGTATTTTGTATGCTTTACTTAGCAGGTTTCAGCATCACTCATCACTGGTTGTAAGGTGGCTGCATAAATTAAAGTATTCTTGTTTTATTTATTGACTAGTGTTCTTACTTGATGTTAGTTAAGGTAGTATCTCTGTGTGTTTTAAGTGCTCATTTAAACACAGACATTTTTTGTTTGTTTTTTTAAGGGAAGAACAATTTCAGGTTTAGCATCAGCTTTAGTATGTTTTATTTTTGAAATTTTCTGTTGTAGAACTAAGATTCTTTTTGTGTCAGCCTAAAAAGATTTATCCATCTTGGATAATCAGTAATATGCTTTAAAAAACAAGAGAGGATATGAAACAGGGCTAAAAATTCCAATTCTTAGGTCATAGGTATTACTTTGATGAACAGGATGGACAAACAATTTTTCAGGTTGTGTCTAAATGAAATAAGAATTAATCCAAATATAGCATGAGACAGAGTAGTTCAGAAATTTAATTATTTAATTTATTCTATTCTAAAATATTTTTATTATTCTGTTGACTTAACATCAAAGTGTTAATTCTTTTTGGTTGGTTATTGTTTTTATATTATGGGTTTTTTTGTGTGTGTCTAGTAATTTGGCTAATTAAAATGCTCTTTTCAGGTATCCATTTGGAAGGGCCATTTATTAGTCGAGACAAAAAGGGTGCACATTCAGTTCAGCACATCAAATATATAGAATCGGGTTTTCAAGATATTTTAGAAGTTTATGGGAGTTTAGACAATGTTGCCATAGTTACTATAGCACCAGAAGTGGATAAAACAGGTGATATTGTTATAAAGTTGGTGAAACAGGGCATCACTGTATCTCTTGGTAAGTATAAAATGTTCATGTAGTATACTTAGCATGTCACGACATTTTTACAAAGTTACTTTAAAAATTTAAATAAATGATATATGTCAGTAGCCATGGCATAAAAATGTAGTTTATAATTCCCTGTTTTAAATCATTTATGTTTTAATAAGGAAATATTTAAATAAATTTGTAATCTTGATTTCTGTGTGCCATTGCATCTCTCCTCCAATTCTTTTATTTTTGAATTTCTCCATTCCCTTCTAAGGCTGTCAGAGAGGCCAATCAATCAAAAACACAAAATATAGCTACTGACAGGTCAGTATATAAAGTTCAAAACTCTAACCTTCTTCCATTAGTGAAACATAATTAAATCTGGGCACCCACCATTGAGACTCCTCCCATCTTGATATAGCTTTGAACAAATTTCTGTTGTCCATCTTTTATAGCCAATAGAAAGAGAATTTGTCTTCTATATAAATCTGCTCAAGTTACTTCGTTTTTAGTGCACACCTGTATACTGTTTGCCTCAGATTGTCTATGCATAATTGTTAATGTTGAGCTATGAGTAGCTAAAATTATTTTTTATCTTTTTTTGTCATTTAGTTAGCAACCGAGTTAAACTATAGCAGTTTTATGACCTTGAATATTTGTGAAAAATTTTGATTTTAAGTTTCATATATTTTGTTCTGCTAACATCGTTGCAGAAAATTAGGCCCACAGGTTTCAACTCCAGAAAATAAAATATAATTTCTTGTTTTTTTAATGTATATTTTTAATTATTATTATAGAAGAAATTAAAAGGTAAGAATTAGGAACTTAATGGGTTGTACAAAGAAATGTAGATTAGAAAAAAATGAAATAATAATTTCTTGTGATAGTTGTGTATGAGAGATATGTTTGTAATTCATTCAAAATGCTGCTACAACCAGGATCGAAACAAAAAATAATAATTTATTGATCTTTAACAACTTCCAAACAACATAGTCTTGGTCAATATGACTGACCATGTGACCTCTTTGTACTCTTTTAAAGTCTGTATAGATTTAATACTTCCAACTTTCCATATATTGTGTATATTTTCACAAAATTTGGCAGTCTTTCAGTTTACATTATAAGCCTTTCACATACAAAAAAATCATAATTTTTAATGAACTATTTTTAATAAACTAAAATGGAGAGTTGTCCATGAAAATATTGAGCATTTGTTTTGAATGGTCTGTGCAAAGTGATTTTCATGTTGAAATTAAAAATACATTTCTTCATCTCAAAAATCTCAACTTTCCTAACCACCAAAAAAAAATATTAAATAAATCTAAATTACCCTCTTTTTCTTTCTAGAATGACTTCAACTACATTAGTTTATCCTAAGTAGCTTTAAACTCCTAACTGTATACATCTATTTATAGTTAACTTTTATTGCCCTTTGAACCATGTCTGATTACTAACCATGCCATTATAAGTTGTAACTCACTCAGGGAATGTGCAGCACATGTTACACCATCAAATTACAATACCCATCAGCTGCTCACATGTGTGTCTCATGAAACATTTTTATTATATTATTATTATTAATTTTACTTAATCTAATCTTAACTAACCTAAAAGTATCCCTATTTTTACATTTTAGTTACTTTTATAATAATACATAAAAAAATAAACATGTAAAACAAGAAATAAAGTAATTACCCAATATTCTTTTATTTTGCTGTCGATTGGCAATTACACTTAACCCTACTTTTTTATATTAATGGTAGTAATGCACTAAATAATTCTTACTTAATTAAACAATGCACCAGAGAACACAAACTAATAATATGCAAAAAGTAGACAATTTACCCTAACTCTCAAAATTTTTCTGGCTTTTTAACTATGAGATAAGAGCCATTACAAATTTATCCAAGCTAGTTATTAGCTTTGCCACAAGAATAGAGCTTGTACTCTGAGTGAAATTGACGATCATCTGTTCAGAACACAATGTTATACAATATGTCATTTAATAGATGAAAACCTTGGCTATCTGTTGGTTATAGGTAATATATAATTAAATGTGAGAGAGAACTATTAACAAATCATGAAAGAGAGGATGTGACAGGTGGGTGTGGCAAGAGGGGTCTGATTTTCTATTTGATAGCTCTGAAACCAAACAGAATTGAAATATAAGAATTATGATTTGTCTGAGCAATGATGATTTTATGCTGAGTAATTTTCATTTAATTTTGTACGTTTTGGAGGAGTGGTGGATAAAATAGAGAAAAAAAGATTCCTAGAGAAAATGTGTCACACTAGAAGAAATTCAGGATTTTTTTAATATTATTTATATTTATTTTATTAAGAACTTAAAGCTTATATGCTATTAAGATATGGATTATTAACTGAGAATTTATGCTATACTAGTTGATATAACATGAACAGAAAGTAGTTTAATAAAATTTTGAATGTAAGACACTAAAACCTTGTGCCATGCACATTAAAGGATACATGTGGCGATAGGATTAAATACATGCCTTGCCAGGACTTGATACAAATGTCAATGAACAATACCACATAAATGTAAATGTTATTAATTTCAATAAATAAAGGAATTAGGAAAAAGGACCAAAAGAAGAAAACTTATTTCCAAAAAAAATAAAACATTCCAAAATTAAACGACTTCAAGATCAACAACAATATAGAGTAAGAATCAGCAATAATTTGTTTTAACTGTATCTCATGAACTAACTCATTTAAGCTCAAGGCATGGTTTTTATTTAGTGGTTAGACCATCAGGTTACATCTCAAATAACTAGGTAATTTTACATAATCTTTCAAAACATTAATATCTGTATTTTAGCATTAGGAGAAACTTGTGTTAGTTTCATGATACAAACAAACATAGTCAAATTCAATGTGCTTTAGCTAGAAAAAACGTTAGCTGTTTAATATAACTAAAAATTCATAGTTGAACTAAACGATAGAAGGAATAATAAATGAATGGTAAACAAATCATAAGATAAAAGTAAAATTTGCTGTCTCACAATTTGTACTGTGCTTGTAACTTGATCATATGTTTACACAAAGCTGTCCAGCTGTGATAAATGGCTTCCAAAATGATATCCTTATCTCTTTGCACAAAATAGCTATTCCTTGCGTGTCTGCCTTTTAGATTTTGTGCATGCCACTTGCCTTGAGCTATCTTCCACTTAAGACTTGTTTTAATGTGAACTGCACTAGTGCATTATGATATCATCATGCAACAATAGCCCTCTATCAGTTGGATGGTGAAATCCTCCATCCTCAGTACATCCTCATAAGCACTTGAACTCAAAATTAATTTCATTCTTTTCCTTGGCACTGTTGTGAATGGACATGTTTTTTGAAGTTTAAACTTTGTTTAGTGTAGTGAGATTTTTGCTGCCATTATTCCAGTGTTAACTTTCCTTCATTTTATTTCAACATACATCACCTTTCAATTACTGTTTACTAAAAAAGGGAAAAAAGAACTGGAAGATTCCTTTAATCACAATGAATTCTTAAGTAACCACTACTTCCTCCAGAGGGTTTGATGACATAATTATCAATGACTTTGTCTGTGGTCACAGGAGGCTCATTGACAATGGAGAGTGTTACTGCCATTTTTCAACTCGTCGTAGGTTCATTAATATCTTTATTGCTTCATCTCTCTACCTCTATACCAATAGTGCATTACTTTCTTTCTGAATCTGATGATGATTTTGATCAGTTCTTTCCATCTTCTTTACCTGTAGAGGCGAATCTTCCTCCTCCAAATCTCCTTTTGGATTTGATTTCTCATGTTTACTTTCTCTGACTCCTATGTCTCTTGATTCTTTTCCCATTTCTTACTAAATGCTTCTTATGCTTTGAATTATTTGGTTTTGCCCCTTTCTTCAGATATATCTTTATGTGGTACAATGTTCTAGATTAGCTTTGTTCACATTCTTAAATGCCTTATCCTCCTTGACTCCAGGATTCTTTTGTCATGGCTTGCAGCAGTTCCCTCTTTTCCATTCTAAGATTCTCAATCACTGAAGTCCCTTTTACTAACTTGGAGAACTGACCTCTATCTCCAATAACTTTCTCTTGTATTAAGTTTTCCCATTTTTGTTTTCTCTTCATCTCCTCTCTGAAGCCCTAGACTATGGTCCTGATAGTTTTTGAGGAGATCTACAGTTGGTAGTTTTCAATACTTTGACGTGGTTTCTGTGTTCTGCTTTGCCCCTGGTTACTTGGTTTTTTTTGGATGTGATGCTCACTTTTTTTTCTGCTGTTCATCTATCTTCCCTATTCTTATCTCCATGACTTTCAAATGGCTTCTTTTCTTCACTCAGAAGTTTTCAGTGGTGTTCCTAATACATTGGAGACTGGAACTGAGGCTGTTCAACACCAGTTCTCTCTTTCCTCCTTGGATTCCTATGTCTCTATCAACCTCGTGATTTCATGCACATTCCTAGACCCCATGAATCTTCCACTTCTCTTTTTCAAACTCTTGCTCCTGTACTTCTTCTCACCATTCCCCCCTCCTGTCATGTTGCCATCATGTGTTCCATTGGTTACTACCTATCTTTGCACCCAGACAGCTGTCCAGTGGTTCATTCCAGTTCTTACAGAAGGCTTTGCTCATTACTTCTTTGCTTACCATGTACACAGTCTTGGACTTCATTTTCTGTATGACATGAACAATTGGCTTCTCGTTGCCTCGTCTCAGGAGGCCTCTTTCTTGGTTATGTTACTCCTCCTCCAAGAAGCTGCTTGGCTGATTTGGCTGTTCCTTTCTCTGACCCAGTTCTTGGTCCACATTTGACTCTTTTTCATCTTCTTCATTGGGCTCAAACTTCCCTCATTTGTCTATGAGACATGGAACAACTAGTCATCTCAACTCTTGCCTCCTATACTTCTTGTGCAAGATGTTCTATATATTTTGGGACTTGCATCTTTTGAACATCTTGTCCCTTTAGGCCACATTCACATGAATTTTCTTCAATGGATTTTTAGCTACCAATGGAGTATTTCCCATGATCCTG